TATTAATTATTTATTAAAATTATTTATTGTTTATAAAAATTATTATTTATAAAAATTATTATTTATTTTGCCAGGTTGGGGGGGGCGGTGGCAGGGTGGGGGGGGCAGAGGTGGGGGGGCGGCGGTGGCGGCGAGGGCAGAAGCGGCGGCGGGGCAGAAGCGGCGACGGCGGGGGCAGAAGCGGCGGCGGGGGCAGAAGCGGCAGCGGCGGGGTGGGGGGGCGGCGGTGGCAGCAGAAGAGGCGACGGCGGGGTAAGCTGGTTCTGGCCATGGCCCCCAACTTTAACGACATAGTCAAGCAAGGCTATGTGAAAATCTGCAGCAGGAAGCTCGGGGTGAGTGAGAAGAGGGAGCCGAGCGCTTTGTTTCTCCTCTCCCCCCCCCGCCCGCCCCTCTCCGTCATCTCCCGGGCTGGGTGGCGGCGATGGAAAAGCGGGCAATCTTCGGGACTAGGAGACGTTGGGTCTGACTTGGCGGGGCGTGGAGGGAGGGGGGTTGTCAGGCTGGTCTGGTGCGGGATCCGAGGCTCGCGCTTGCCTCAGGTTCCCTGGATTGCTCGCCTCGGAGCTGCTCGCTCTTGACTTCGGCGTGCCTGGTTTCTCTCTCTCTCTCTTTCCCCCCCCCCCCACCTCGTCCCTTGCGCGCCTGCCTTGCCCGCTTCCTGCAAGGAAGGCAGCGCGCAGTGTTGGCCATCACGCGTGCGGGCAGGCATTGGGGTTTGCTCGGGGAGGAAGCGCCGCGGATGTCAGTCGGAATTGAGCTCAAAGTGTGGCTAGGACTGCGGCTCAATCGCCGCGGCGGGCATGAGACGCCGCTGGACTGTGTTTTGCCTAGAAATCTGACTGAATTCATCCGGGAGGATTGTCCTTTTCACTCAACCTGGTTTTTTTTTTGCGGGGGCAGAAGCAGCAGCGGCAGGGTGGGGGGGCGGCAGTGGCAGAAGCGGTGGCAGAAGCGGCAGCGGCGGCGGCGGGGCGGTGGCAGAAGCAGCAGCAGTGGCGGGGGCGGCGGCAGCAGAAGCAACGGCAGGGGCAGAAGCGGCAGCGGCGGGGTGGGGGGGCGGCGGCGGCAGCAGAAGCGGCGGCAGAAGCAGCGGCGGCAGCAGTGGTGGGGTTGGCGGCAGGGGCAGAAGCGGTGGCGGCGGGGTGGGGGGGAGCGGGGGCAGAAGCAGCAAAGGCCTTTTCTGTTGCTCCTTGGCGTGGCGCTCGCCTAGCCCTGCCTCGCGCCTGCCTCTCCTCCTCCTCCTCGCTGGCTCTTGCCAGAAGGTTGGGATGGGCACTGGGTCGCATTACAAGGCGACCTGGGCCGCATGCGGCCCGTGGGCCGCGGGTTGGACAAGCCTGATCTAGAGTATACTGCAGTGCTAGTGCACAATTCCTAGAACATATAGGATGGAATAGATTAGAGCAAGATTCAGATAATGATGTTATTATAGAACCTTATAAGAGGCAGAAAGAAAAGACTAGTTATAAGAAAAGTCCAATTAAAGAAGAAGTCCACGAAGAGCAAATAGAATCAGAACAAGAGGAAATAATTGATCAAGAAGAGATAGATAGTCAAGAACAGGAAATAAAGGAAAGTCCACCTGTAAGTCCTGTTATACCTAGACGCACAACGCGTATAACTAGACCACCTGATAGATATCAGGCAAGTATAGTTTGCCAAGTAAATAAAGTTCCTAATAGCATAGATGAACTTAAGATGTATCCTGCTAAGGATCAGGAGAATTGGCAAAAGGCAATGGAAAAAGAGTTAAATTCATTAAAGGAAATGAAGGTTTATGAAGAAACCAAATTACCTCCAGGAGAAAGATCCATTGGGTGCAAATGGATATTTAAAGTAAAGACTGGAAATAATGGGAAAGTAACTTATAAAGCTAGATTAGTAGCACAAGGATTTAATCAAAATGTATTTGATTATGATGAGGTATTTGCACCAAATCTTAAGGCTACAACTTTAAGAGCAGCTTTAGTGTGGGCAGCTAAGAATAATTATATAGTTAACCATTTAGACGGAGAAACTGCATATCTGCATGCACCATTGCAGCATACAATATATTTGAAAAAACCAGTTGGAATAAATGATAATAAAGTAAATAGCAATGATTGTTGGAAACTCAAGAAGAGTTTATATGGATTGAAACAATCTGGCTATGAATGGAACCAATATATTGTGAAAGAATTAAACAATATAGGGTTTAAATCTGGTTTAGCAGATCCATGTATGTTTAAAAGAGAAAATAATGGAACGGTGTCATTATTGTTATTATTTACAGATGATATTGCTTTGATTACTAAGACCAATAATGAAGCTACTGAGATTATTTCATTATTAGCCAAAAGGATAAAATTAAAGCATTTAGGTGAAATTAAAAAGTACCTAGGATTGACAATTAACAAAACCACAAAAGGATTTAAGATATCTCAAGAAGATAAAATTTGCCAATTAATTAAATTGTATAAAATGGAACTTTGTAAGCCTGCAAAGACTCCAATGAGTCAGGAAATTTGCAAAAATGATGCTCAAAGTCCCAAATTTGATAAGACCATATATCAATCTTTGATTGGTAGCTTATCATATATAAGCAATTGGTCAAGGCCAGATATAGCTTATAGTATTAATCAGCTGGCACGATATAATAATGATCCATATCAATGTCATTGGCAAGCATTAAAGAGAATTTTAAGATATCTCAAAGGAACAATGCATCATGCATTGTATCTAGAGCCAAAAGGTGATTTGAATCTTAGTGCCTATGCAGATGCAAGTTTTGCAACTGACATAAAACACTAGAAAATCAACATCTGGGATGGCTATATTATTTGGTAAGACTCTAATAGGGTGGAGGTCAATCAGACAACAGCATATTAGCTTGTCAACGATGGAAGCAGAATTTTCATGTCTGTCATTACTATGCACTGACTTAATTCTGTACAAACAGTTATTATTAGACATGGGTATAACTGTTAAAGATTCTATTATTGTGTACGAGGACAACCAGGCAGCTATACAATTAGCTACTAATATTGCTGTAAAGACTAGATCAAAGCATACTGATTTAAGATACTTAAATGTTAGAGAATCTGTTAAAAATGGTCTAATTAAACTTGAGTACTGCATGACGGAAGAAAACATTGCAGACCAGTTTACAAAAGCTCAAGGTGTTGTAAAATTTAAAGAGAGTTGTAACAATTATGATTTAAAGGTGTAAATGGTTATATTATTGTAATATTTATTATTATTACCCAAAAGGGGAGAATGTTAGGGATAACATTGTTTACCCTAACTGGTTTGGGTAAAAATAATAAATATGGTATCATGGTTTGTTAGTTAAAGTGTGTGTAACTTTAACTGCAGGAATGTAATTAAGGGTGTGGTTGTAAAAGCACTATATATGAAGCGAGGCAAATGCAGCTCTCTCTCTCTCTGGCTTACTGATCCCTAATTACTGGATGGATTGATGACTACGTTCTTGTAGGAGTGTTGATATTTCTCAACGGAGAGAAAATAAAGATTGGACTGATTTATTGTAAGTGTACTGACATTGGCTATTCAACACGGACTTTGCAAATAGAATATCCCCGACAAGACTTGACTGAAATGATATATGACTAATGGACTGTTTATATTTGACTATGCTATAATTCTTAAATGGAATAAACTATATTTTTGATAGCACAAGCGTATCTGTATTTTTACTGCGTGTTAACTAGAAAACTTATCTCACACATTTACCTGTCTTCCTATCTGACTTCGCTGCACGTTCTGTTTAGTTTGTTTTCCTTAACACCCGTTGGGGAATCCAGGCTTAACAGACTTAAAGCTTAGAACTGGCACACAAATGACTTTTTGGTATCATTTTAATATGCATTAATATTTTAATTTGTAATATGCATACATATTATGTTAGCCTCTCGTTTCTGCATTATCCTATGCAAGATTCTATATGGTAGCCTTTCTTTAAGTGGAGTCACTGGACGGAGAGTCACTAAAGACTCCTTTTTTCTTCTCCTTTCCAAGCAGAGTTATCAGTTTGAGAAAAAAACAAATGCAAAGGTAACAGTTCCAGAACTCTATATAAAGTCTAAGCAATCTTTGTGTTTCAAAAGGAAGACTATGACCAGAGGAAATAGTGCTTCTATACCAAACTCTGACCACGTGACCAGAAGGAATAACAGAAAGGGAAAAAGACTATCTCAATGTGGATTAATTCGTTCATTAGATAGGCACAAAAAACTATTGCCCCTGGGCCACAGTTCACTACTGGACTGTGACCTATTTGGAATTGGGCCACATGAGTGGCTGGCCAGAATGTGCGTGTGCACACGCAGCTCAACTTGCACAAGCAGCGGGCCAGTGGGCAATTGTGCATATGCGCACTGGCCCACCACTCACATTTTCCCTCACGCCTCCAGCCAGGTAGCCAAGCTGCAAAGATTCCCCTGATTTAGAACATCCCAGTGCAAATTGTAGCATTTAAAGAATAAAGTTTATAGTTTAAGAAACTATTAGAGGAAAGGAAATGCCTTGATTTTGATAAATAAAAATGCCTATATAAAATGAAATCCATATTTCAGGAACTATATAAAAGTAACTCTTTTATATAAAAGTAAAAATAACTATATAAATGTTACCCTTCCCATTAAAGCATGGCTTTAATTTATGAGAGAATTTTGACATATACTGTAAATTAAAATTAATCATTAAAAGTTAATGATATATTTCTTGACCTATCCTAATTTCAATCAAATTACTAATTTTATTCATGGGCATTCTTGTACAAACTCATTTATTATTTTACAGTGTCACAGTATTGCAATGTTTGAAAATCCTATCATCTGAACTACAGGATTCTACTTTTTTAGTTTTTCCAAGACAAAGACTCATTTCAAAACATTTCCCCACATTTTGGGTCTCATGAGATCATTTCAGAATAGCCACAAAATTTTATGTATGCAATCATAAAGGGCCTTCTAATTTTCAAAAGTTTTCTTCTTTACCTGGAGTAACTCTTGACAGCTGTCAAGTCCAATATCCACAAGAATACCCTTCACTTTCTTCCGAGATCGTCTTATATTATCAAGATTTTGCACAGGAATTTGAAACATGTCAAAAAGCCTGAAAGACAAAGACACAAAGCAGAGGTACATTTCTCAATATAACTTCACATGTGTTATATCTGTAAAGATAAACTTTGGCAGGAAGCTATGTAATGTCCAGAACAATTATAAGATATGAGAATTGAAGAATACACAATTTTGTCTTAAATGACTGCTACAGTCTAATTTCTTTCTTGGAAAGAAGGCCTTGCTATAATGTAAACATAAACAAGGGAACTCAAGAAGTGAAAATGTTTTTGAAATGGAGCCTATCATGGAACCAATCCAGACAGCAGTGAATTAGCATACCTGGAATTTCAATAGTAGAGGACATTCATGTCCATGGTTGTTCTGTATATCAAAAATATCAGAGAATATTTCACCCCACGTCTAACTCAGATATAGCAGTAAATCTATCAAATTCAGTGTTATGAAAATCACCAAAATTTGCTAGCAACTATGGTTAGTCAGGGACACGGTGGCTTAGTGGCTAAGACACTGAGCTTGTCGATCAGAAGGTCAGCAGTTCGAATCCCTAGCACTGCATAATGGAGTGAGCTTCTGTTACTTGTCCCAGCTTCTGCCAACAAGCAGTAAAAAAAATGCAAGGACAAAAATAGGGACCATTTTGGTGGGAAGATAACAGTGCTCCGTGCACCTTTGGCGTTTCATCATGCTGGCCATGACCATGGAGACATCTTAGGACAGCGCTGGCTCTTCGGCTTAGAAGCAGAGATGAGCACCGCCCCCTAGAGCCGGAAACGACTAGCATGCATGTGCAAGAGAATCTTTACCTTATGGTTAGTCAAAATTGGTATATCCTTAAGGGTATCAAAGATGATTCTATCAATGGTTTTAACTACTCACAAAGCTTATTAAGAACTTAAGCATATACAGAACAACAGTAAACCATGTTATCAATTTGCAGTGAACCATGTTTCCCTAGAGGTACAAAGCAAAAACAAGCAGGAAGAATTGAGGACAGCTTGCCGACAGTATCTAGAATTGGCATCTCCTTCATTTCATTCTCTTTCATATATTAGGCTATTATAATGTAAACATGCATTGTTCTGTTGCCCCAGGCAAAGACATATTTATTGTACCTGATCAACTTGGGGACACTTGGTGATATTTTGTCATCTTTGCAGTACACTTTAATCATGTCAGTAATTTAAAATTACAGACTTGTGGAAAAAGTAGGCATAACCACATTGAATTTTTTGACCTTTTTAACATATTTGATCTTCATTTTAACAATGAAGATAAAAGGGATACAATGTAATGAATATCAAGTGCCATTTATATTTTGTAGCCCACTCAGTGATTTAAATAAAGATAAATGTAAAGTCTGCATGTGGAAAAAGTACTTCCTCATATTTATCACCACCTCGGATATCTAAAATTAGAATCAGATGAATCTAGAATCAAGTGCAAATGATTTGAAGATTATTAGACAGGATTTAGGAGGAACGTGTCTTCTTAAAACATCAGACATTTAGTTTGATTTGCTCTTTGTTGCTAAAGCACCAAGTATCACCATGCCTAGATTAAAAGAGTTTCTCTAAGTCCTTCAGAAAGAACAGATGCATATGTCTCTTGGAAGGAATTCTAAAAGATTGCCAAACTATTGGACATCAATCATTCCACTGTCTGGAATATTATCTACAAGTGGAGATTTTGAACAACTGCCAACTGATCCAGGCCAAGCATCTCAGCAAGAATAGAAAACAAGACGCTGAAAGAAGGCTCTAAGAACCCCAGAATTTCATCACATTACTTACAGGTTGCTTTTCCATTATTGACAACAAAGTGCAGGATCCTATCATGAGCAGAAATTACCCAAATTATCCTTCATGTGGAAGGAGTGTCAGAAAGAACATCAGAACAAGACTAAAGTTTGTTCATGAACACCTACGCAAAGACCAGGACTTCTGAACAAAGGATTCTGGATAGATGAAACAAAGATAAAAGTACTCTTGCCACAGTACCAGAAGATATGCTTGGCCAAAACCAAAGATAGCATTTCACTGGAAGATCCTGATATAAATTGTAAAGCATGATGGTGGAAATATTATGGTTTGGGGATGCTTTGATGCATCAGAGCCTAGGCAGCTTATTATCATAGAATTAACTATGAATTCTGCATTGAACTACAAGATGCTTGATGATAATGGGAAACCAATTGTCAGAAGACTGAAGCGCAACCAAAATGGACTTTGCAACATAGCAATGGCTCTAAATATTCCAATAAATCCATAGAGTAATGACCAAATTAAAGCCCTGATCTAAATCCCATTGAAATGCTGTTAGGTGAATTGAAATGGGCTGGATGTGCAAGAAACTCCTCAAACATTACACAGCTGAAAAACTGCATGAACAAATGGTTACAAAAATCTTCCCATCTGACGTCAGAGACTGGTAAACAGTGATAAGAATGACTTACTGAGATAAAAAATAGTGATTTGTCAAAATACAAATGTATCATTTATCATTTTTACATAGATAAGACACTAAAATGTTGTGCAAAGCTAGAATGCATGTAATGCATTTAAGAAAAGGGCAGGCAGGGCTCATGCCTAGAGAATCCTTTGGGCATGAATTGGCTCCATGTACTCTATGTCAACCTGCCAAGATTTCCTCCACTAAGGCTACAGACTGCCTCTAGACACAGTGCCTAGATTACAGCATAGATAAATTCTAAGTGAAACACTAAAAGAATAAAATAATTTCAACTATTATAACAACATAAGGAAGAGCAGGTTCAGAGAGAAACTAGCATCTTGTTTTAGGTACAGTTCCAAAACCTATAAGCCATATAGAGTTGCTTAGTCCTTCAGCAGAAAAGGCTCAATTTCAAACCCTTCTTCGAATGTTTTTGCCTCAAAATTGAAGATTAATGAAAAGAACAATTCTGGACAGAAACACAAATGCATCTCTGTAAACCAACAATAATGGCTTAGGCCATATGTTATAAATCTATAACATACCCTAAGCCATTATATTTGTTTTATCATTCTTATAACTCTTTGCCATTCCAGAAGACGTTCTTAAGTGCCTTCAACTCCTAAGGCCTTCCTGCCCCAATCATTGTCATATTTCCTTGCTCAAAATCTCAAAAACTACCAGTAATAAAAGATAGGAATGAGGATCCAATTTTCCCATCTCTGAACTGAAGAGCTTATGGTACTTGAATTAAATCCAAGAAATTTTAAACTCTCAATTTTATATATAAGGGCAACATTACCATGTTTTAAAAGAGTACGCCTGTCTTGCAAAACCACCTCTCATATGTGGTAACCTGGGAACAGCTCTCACCTCACTTTTTCCTCCTCTGCGCTTCTGTTTGTCTGGCTTTTCTTGAACATCTTGAAATCTTTCTGATCAACATTCTTGATCTACTCTGACATCACACTTATACTTTATTCATCTGATGTGTTTAAATTGTCTGAACGGCTTAAATGTCACCTAGAATTTTCCCCAGCCAGCTGCCCTCTAAGTATGTGGGACAACAACATTTATCTCCCCAATCATCATGACCATGTTTTTTTTCTCCCATACCGGAGGCCTTGCAGCTTAGGAGACTTATTTGTTTTGGAAGTCGGCTTAGATTTTGCAAGTTTACAAAATTGCAGAATATATTATGTTTTGACTGCCACAAATTCCGTTGTGAAGAACACGTTCCCAACTCTAAAACTTGAATAATTTTGGCAGAAATGTAGGCTGAAATGCAGCTACGTGGTTGTCCATTCATGCATGGAAATGTAAAGATGAGAGCTGTCGTATATAGGCAAGGCAGGTCCATTTGTCACCTTTGCATAGTTTATACACACACATACAAGCACACAGACACATGAACATACCTACACTAATTCTGGGATTTGAAATATAAAATATCAAGAAGAAGAAACCACTTGAATGACCAGCACAGGCAGGTTATTTTGTTCTATCCCTAGAAGCCAAAACCCACTGAAGCCCCTTACTAGTTTCTTCTCCTCGCAGGTAGAAAGATGAGTTTTCTTTCCCCAAACCGGGAGCTCCAATCCAAAGGTCAGGAGTTTACCGGCGTGCTTTAAGCCAGGGCTCTCCAACCTTGACAATTTTAAGCCTGGAGGACTTCCACTCACAGAATTCCCCAGCCAGCTGTGAGTGGAAGAGTCCTCCAGGCTTAAAGTTGCCAAGGTCGGAGAGCTCTGCTTTAAGGGACACAGAAACGATACCGGCGGCAGCGGGCTTCCCACGCGTGGAGGGAAGAAGAAGAAAAAGGAAAAAACAAAAACAAAAAACACCACCACCTCCCAAACCAACCCAAAAGCTTCAGGCCGATTCAGGTGAACAAAAAACGAGTTCGGGTCGAGTCCCGACTTGCAGCCCCGGGGCGCAGATGCCTTGCAGGGCGGGCCTCCTTTCCCTCCAGCGAGCAAGCCCCGAGGGGGAGCCCCGGCTTCTGGGGCTGCCGGCCGAGCCTCGAGAAGGTGGCGGGGCGCAAAACGAGGCGGCCAAGAGGTTCCGTCGCTGGGCGCGCGCTCGGGTCCAGCTTTCTCGGGCTGCACTTACCCGTCCCGGCTGCAAGGGGCGTCCGCTGCCTGACCGCTCCGTTCCTCGACGGCGACTCCCCGAGGCGGGCGGACGCGTTGCAACCTCGCCCGGTGCCGCCGCTCCTCCTCCTCCTTCTCCTTCCTCTTCTTCTCCTCCTTCTCCTTCCTCCTCCTCCTCCTCCTCCGGACCCTCAGTCAGCGGCCGCCCCGCCCTTCCCCGCCCGGCTCCGCCTCCTCGCGTCGACCCTGCAGCGCGCGCTCAAGCCCCTCAACAATCCGGGCACCGGTGGCGGTGCAGCATCCTTGCCTTGGCGGCGTCCAGCCAGCCGTGCAATATGGGACCCGGCTTTCCCCCGTCACCACCACTGAGCCCACCAGCTCCCATTCACCCACCTCCGGCTACTCCTCCTTCCTTCCCAGAGCCAGAAAGGGAAAATGGCGCTCGATTGGTCTCAGGAAGTGACGTTTCCCTCTCATTTGCATATCAGTCAGTGGACCAATAAGGAGACGCTTGTTCCACGCCTCCCATTGGTCAATTCCATCAGCATCAACCCTGGAGGGAAGGTAGGGTTCATAGGGGAGCCTTGGGGGATCGTGGTGAACTCCTTCAGAGGGACCTCCCACTTGCTTACCTGTAACCTCAACTTTCCCTCACTTTACTTGGGCACTTTTTCATCCCCCAAAAGTGAAAAGAACGTGATTGTGTGTTGTGACGTCATCACCGAGGGTGTGGCGCGATGACGTCATCCCATGTGGTTCTGTCACGTGGTCATGCAGCAATGCTCTTGTTCATGCTCAGAGAATGTTGTGGAAGGTTTATTTGCATCAGTGTATTCTTGAAAAAGCCCCTTCATACCCAACAACCAATGAAATCCATCCTTGTCAAGA